AAAAAAAAAAAAAAAAAAAAAAAAAAACAGAAAACTTACACACATTTTCCATATTAGTATCGATCCTCTGAAGGTTATCTGGTTGTTTTTTTCTGGATTTATTCTTTGTTGGCTCTGTGATCCTAAAGACTTCCATATCAGGATCGCTTGGATGGTTTAATAACACCTTGAGGGGCCAGGAATGTAGCTGGGTGGCGCCATGCCTGTCTCACAAGCACAAGGTCCTGAGTTCGATCCCCAGTACCAGAAAACAAACAACAAATAAACAAACACCTGGATTGTGTGCTGGGAATAGAGCTCAGTGGTGCAGCACTTGCCTAGCAGGTTCAAGCCCGGGTTCAGTCTCAGAGGTGCCCCGCAAACTTAGGTTGCTGGGCACTGCACCCAGAGCTTCTGATTGAGTAAATCTAGGGTGAGAGGCAAGTGTGCTTTGCTGCTCTGCTTTCCTGCTTACTGCTTACATGCTTTCCTCCCTTCTTCCTGCCTCCCCGTCTTCTTTTTTCTTTTCCTGTGTGTGTGGGGGCGGTGCTGGGGAAGCTTTTTTGGGGGGGTGCTTTTTAAACAAATTCCTAAGTAATGCTGGTAGTCCACAGACCAAATTATGGGAATCATAAGTTTTTGCCATACAAAAGCTTAAAACTTGTATGTAGTTAAACGTGTCTTTTTCTTTTATAGCTTTTAAATCACCTTCCTAATTAAAAGGTGTTAGCAGGCTCCAGTGGTGCAGCCTTTAGTCTCCCATGTCATACATAAGCTTTTCAAGACTTTTATTGTTTAAACTTAAATGTGGGATCATCAGGAATTTATTTTTGTATATGGCATAAGGGTCCTGCTATATATTCTTTCAGAATATTAATCAGTTGTTCTAGCATCAAATTGTTCAATAATACATCTTTTTTCCATTGAATTGAAGTGACCTGGCAACTTCTGTGTCTATAGATTTGCCTATTTTTGATACTTTATATAAACAAACTCATAAAATATGTCCTCTTTGTGTCTGGCTCCTCCCTCTGCCCGCGTTTTCGGTTCATTCCCACTATAGAGTGCATCAGCGCTCCATTCTTTTCTGTGGCTGTTGCCACCTTTTAACCTAGTATAAGTAGTATTGCTGTGAACGTTCCCATGCCAGTTTTTATGTGATCGGGCCTTCTCACCATCTGTGGAACCCTTGTCGGCTCTTCCGTGACAGCACCCTGTGGTTTTGGTCTGCATTGGAGCCTTTCGTGTACTTTGTGCCCTTTATATGTCTTCTGATATAAATGTCTATCCAAGGCCTTTGCCCATTTTTATCTAATTTTTAAAACTTTTAAAATAAATTTTATTTTATCGCATCCTCCCCCTCAAGCCCTGTCCCCTCCCTGTGTACAAAAGCTTTGTTTCACCGGGTGTGGTGGTGCACGCCTGTAATCCCAGCACTCGGGAGGCTGAGGCAGGAGGATTGCTGTGAGTTTGAGACCAGCCTGGGCTACACAGTGAGTTTCAGGTCAGTCTCAACTGCATAGTGAGACCCTGTTTAAAAACAAACAAACAAAACACACACACACACACACACACACACACACACACACACACACAGCAAAAGCTTTGTTTCTGTTTTTCCCTTCTTTTTTCACTTTTTTCTGTCCCTTCCTTCCTTCCTCCCTTCCTCCTCCCTTGTTCCCCTTCCCATTTGAACACTTTCTTCCCATTTCCCAACATCCATTATAGATCTCAGTCGTTATTTCCACTTTGTTTCTCACACCAGAGAAACAATGCAGTGTTTAAAATGTGTGTCCAATTTATTTCACTTCCTTGTCCATTTTTAAAACTGGGTAATTTATTGAGTTATAAGAGTGACATGCCTGGTAAGCGCAAAGCCCTGGGTTTGATTCCTGATACTAAAAAAGAAAAAGAAAAAGAAAAAAAAAAGACCAAAACAAGAGTTACTACTCTTTTATTTTTTATATTTTTGGTACCAGGAATCGAACTCGGGACCTTGTGCTTGCGAGGCAGGTAGCACAACCACTGAGCTAAATCCCTGGCCCTATTTTAAACAATTTGTTCGTTTTTTTTTTTTATGTTATATTCTGAGAGGGGGAATTCCACCAGCTTTTGGGGAGTCTTGTTGACCACGATTAGATCACTGGAACGAACAGTAGTTTCTAGGCACTTAACATTTTTGTTTGTTTTTGCTCGCATCAGAGAGTGACTCAGGCATCTCCTCTGCAAGTGCCTAATCCGTCTTGGATGCACCACCAGTCATACCTCATGCCACCTTCAGTGAGTGTTCTCAGATGTGTGCAGAGGCAGAGGCGAGAGGTGGTTGGATGGGGAGGAAAGCAGAGGGCTGGCAGGGTGGGAGGCGTGGGTGTGAGTTCTGGCTCGGGCCCTGGTGCCACCCAAGTGAGCCCTCAAGTTCTGTGCGATTGTTTCCCTTAGACTGGGTCCCTCCTGACTGAAGGGCAGTGTGTTCACTCCTGCTGCTGAGCTGGGTTGCTGCTCACTAAGGTTTTAATTCCCAGGATTTTAAAGCGTCTGCCTTCTGTGTTCCTGTTTCAGCAGCCTCAGAGTAATGCTTCCCTTTGTTGTTGCCTCAAGGGTTCTGTTCTGACACCGGGGATGGATCACCCCATTTCTCTGCAGCCAGCCTCGGTGATGGGACCCCTGACCCAGCAACTGGGCCACCTCTCGCTGAGCAGCACGGGCACGGTAAAGCAGGGTGTTCGTGAAATCCCACAGAGCAAGGGACCCTGTGCAGGACTCCTCAGCAGAACTGCTGTGAATGCCAGTGTGACCACTTCATGTCAGAATTAGAGATAAACTGAAAAGATAATCCATGAGCCAGAAACAGGCATCCTGCTCCCAGCCTAATCTGCTGAGCTGCTTCCTACTCAAAAACCTAAAGGAACAGCGTTTCTGTGTACTAATTTGTAAATTATTTTAAAATTTTTATTTATTTATATATTTATTTATTTTGGTTTTTTGAGACAGGGTCTCACTGTGTAGTTGAGACTGCCCTGACTCACACAG